TGCCACAAGACATGTGCTTTCCGAGTATGGTAACATGTCAAGCGCATGTGTCTTGTTTATTATGGATGAAATGAGGAAGAAATCAGTTGAAAATGGTTTCAAGACCACAGGACAGGGCCTTGAGTGGGGAGTTCTATTTGGATTCGGGCCTGGCCTTACTGTTGAGACAGTTGTCCTCCACAGTGTTCCTACCGCTTAAAGACTTTATTTGTTTTTGACTTTTTCTATTTTTCCATGTTATTTTTATTTATAATTTTTTCTCAAATGATGTATGGAATAACAAAAAGTAATTCTGTGGTGAAAGTAATAATGAAATTTCTATTTTACTGAATGAATTATTTTTACCTTTGTGCTTTTTTTTTGGATTAACAGCCAAAATAGACAATTGAGGTTTTATATGATAGTTTCTGAATCTTTTTGGTCCCAGAATTTTTAGACTTTGAGGGGGTGAAATTGTATTAAATCATTATTAATGTCCCCTAAGTTGATATTTTTGACTTCTTTAAATGAAACTTCCCCGTATTATTGATGTTTGCTTACATAGATAACCATTTTTTTCAATCATATTATTGATGTTTGCTTATGTAGATAACCATTTTATATTTAACTTAATATCAAATCACCATTAATTGGACTTCGCGGAAAGATTTGTAAATGTTATCAATAAGCATTCGAGACAGAAAACATTCATAAGTGACATAAATTCACTTGTATTATATTACAAATTGGCTATTTTTTAAACCCCCCAAACTTGAGACCTTTACACTGTCACCTTTGTCTTTCTTTCTTTTTCACCCACTTCTCTTATAAGTGGCAACTGGCCCACTGTAGCTGTTAATTGTTATAGCCGTTCATTAATTTAAGAATTTAAACACTTCCCCCTTGAGGTTTCCTCAATTAATTTCACCCCTCAGCTATCAGAAATAACAATATACCCCTTGACAATAGTGTGCGGTTTGATTTTCCAACGTTTGACTATGTCAAGCTAGCGAATTGACTAATTTAACCCTACATCTTCCAATTTAAACCAGATAAAGTGACCGAATCCATAAACGGAAAATGATAGAGCCATCGAAGGTTACGCACCGAATCTGTGCACCGAATGACGTGGTAAAATCCTGACCGTTGATTGATATTAACTGATAATAAATAAATGGTCAGGATTTTGCCACATCATTCGATGCACAACCTTCGGTGACTATAGCATTACTCATCCATAAACCAACCCATGCGGCCATGTCGCACTCGCACCATTAGCCACACCCAAAACACCAGCTTCACAACAGCCATCACCACATCAGTGAAAACAAAAATTTACAGAAAAAAATAGTATGTGAGTGGCGGTGGGATAAAGAAGATGGGACTGGGATTATGGTTTTACCAAATATATAACTGCAATTACTTAACAATAATATTATATTTATAAAAGAGTTTATATACAAAATGAGGTGGTAAAAAATAAATAGAAGAGTAAAATAAAAAGTCAAACTTATTAAATTGGCTCTTTTATTTATTTTTTATCACGTCACCTTATAAAAATCTTTATAAAATTTATTTGTAAGTGTAGCATTATTAATTACTTAATTACCTCTAGCCTGTCAAAATAAACACTGATTCCAAAACGGCAAACTCCAATCAGGGGGTAATTTGTTATTTTTTATACCTGAGGAAAAAATGTATTTTGCGTAACCTCGGGGGGGAAATTGTATTAAACTCTTGATTTAATTCACAACACAAATGAGTTGCCCTTATCTGGGTTTTGGCTTTCTTGATTGATATTGCCATTTTTGCTTGTTTTTATTGGTTCTGCTTTGTGGGTATTTTGGTTTTTATTGCTTGTGTTTGAAGGATTCATTTTTAATCGATGGGTTTCTGTTTTAGCAGTGATTTTCTGTTTTGGAAGCAGAGTTCAATTCCTGGTTTTGGTGATTTCTTTGTAAATTCTTAATCTTTGTTCCGTGTCTCTGCATGTTTTGGCTTCTATATCTTTCAAAAACAAATTACTTGGTTATGTGTTAACTTTGCTCAAGACAGTGGTTAGCATTTTGTCACTGAAAATTTGCTATAAAGTTTTTATTTGAATTTCTCTTACTCTGTTTAACGAATAAATAAATAAGAGTTAAAAATGGAAACTCTTCCTCCCAGCTTGATGGGGTCTGTGAATTTCAAGAGTTGTAAGGTTCATTGCTGCCAAGTCAACCCAAAGCATGGGGCTTTAGACCGCAAGGTGTGTAAAAACCTATAAACTTTCATGCTTATTCAATTACGTGTCATGACTGTTAATGTTTTGAGAATTTTGTGTGGTGAAATCTATATATGTTTGTTCTTTTGTATTCTTATCAGTGATATTATCAGGTAACACTTAGGATTCGATATTGTATCACTTATCTTCTTATCCGTTTGCTTCATATAAATTGATTCTTTGGAATGCATAGAAGCAATTTTATAATGATTCAGTTGTTTTGAATGGTCTGAGCATTTTTGGTGAAGGTTGTTTGCTGTTTAGTATCACATTCTAATTAGCTTTTAGAAATGATAAACTGGATTTTAGTTCTGATTTACTCGGTCTAATGCAAGACGAGTTTTGGTTTTTCTCTTAATAAAAGTTTTGTTATATTTTTATCTTCAGTGCTACTATTCTAGAGGTGAGCCAGTTGCCATTCTGGTTTGCATTTCGTAGGATTACTGCTCGAGTCTGTCGCTAGACTATTCTCTCTCAAACTCATCATGCTTCAGTTATATGTGATTCATAGGCATAATGCATTCATCTTTGTGCATAACACTTACATCAAGTGATTTTCTAGTCAACCGGTTGGTTTTTTAAGTCCATGTACTATTATAGTAATGTTTAAAAATCTTCATATGCGATCACTTACATTCCATCTCCTATCAGTAGGCACTGTCAATCTGTTGCCCCTGCACTCTGGCATAGTCTTACCTGTTCATTGTGAAACATTTACACATATCACCCCTTGTGCTCTTAATTTTAATGCATATAAAAATTTAATTTATGGAAATTGAGTTTTTTGTGAAGACTTTATTGAAACTGCTTGATATAGCATTATTTATTTGTTTTATTCTGAGACACTATCAAAATAGGTTGCCCGAGTAATTTTAATATATCATTCAATAGATATCCTATCTGTTATTTCCATGCCATTCCCTTATTGAATAGTGATTCCCTTTGTGTAGATCATCTTGTTTCAGCTACTTTTTAATCTGTTCCCTTTTCATGTCTATAGCCTTTTGAAATATGCATTATGTTTGTTCCATCATCATTCATCACATCTCTTTGATGATAATTTTATATTGGACCTTATGTTCTCCACACAACATGTTCTTGTTTTTATCTATTATGAAGATTTACAGCAATTAATGGTTTTTAAGCATACATTACAAGAGTGTATAACTTTTTCTTAAATCGTACAGAAAACCCAATATCGGAGGCAGGGAGGAATTGTCAAAGTCAAGNTCAGGGGGTAATTTGTTATTTTTTATACCTGAGGAAAAAATGTATTTTGCGTAACCTCGGGGGGGAAATTGTATTAAACTCTTGATTTAATTCACAACACAAATGATTTGCCCTTATCTGGGTTTTGGCTTTCTTGATTGATATTGCCATTTTTGCTTGTTTTTGTTGGTTCTGCTTTGTGGGTATTTTGGTTTTTATTGCTTGTGTTTGAAGGATTGATTTTTAATCGATGGGTTTCTGTTTTAGCAGTGATTTTCTGTTTTGGAAGCAGAGTTCAATTCCTGGTTTTGGTGATTTCTTTGTAAATTCTTAATCTTTGTTCCGTGTCTCTGCATGTTTTGGCTTCTATATCTTTCAAAAACAAATTACTTGGTTATGTGTTAACTTTGCTCAAGACAGTGGTTAGCATTTTGTCACTGAAAATTTGCTATAAAGTTTTTATTTGAATTTCTCTTACTCTGTTTAACGAATAAATAAATAAGAGTTAAAAATGGAAACTCTTCCTCCCAGCTTGATGGGGTCTGTGAATTTCAAGAGTTGTAAGGTTCATTGCTGCCAAGTCAACCCAAAGCATGGGGCTTTAGACCGCAAGGTGTGTAAAAACCTATAAACTTTCATGCTTATTCAATTACGTGTCATGACTGTTAATGTTTTGAGAATTTTGTGTGGTGAAATCTATATATGTTTGTTCTTTTGTATTCTTATCAGTGATATTATCAGGTAACACTTAGGATTCGATATTGTATCACTTATCTTCTTATCCGTTTGCTTCATATAAATTGATTCTTTGGAATGCATAGAAGCAATTTTATAATGATTCAGTTGTTTTGAATGGTCTGAGCATTTTTGGTGAAGGTTGTTTGCTGTTTAGTATCACATTCTAATTAGCTTTTAGAAATGATAAACTGGATTTTAGTTCTGATTTACTCGGTCTAATGCAAGACGAGTTTTGGTTTTTCTCTTAATAAAAGTTTTGTTATATTTTTATCTTCAGTGCTACTATTCTAGAGGTGAGCCAGTTGCCATTCTGGTTTGCATTTCGTAGGATTACTGCTCGAGTCTGTCGCTAGACTATTCTCTCTCAAACTCATCATGCTTCAGTTATATGTGATTCATAGGCATAATGCATTCATCTTTGTGCATAACACTTACATCAAGTGATTTTCTAGTCAACCGGTTGGTTTTTTAAGTCCATTCACTATTATAGTAATGTTTAACAATCTTCATATGCGATCACTTACATTCCATCTCCTATCAGTAGGCACTGTCAATCTGTTGCCCCTGCACTCTGGCATAGTCTTACCTGTTCATTGTGAAACATTTACACATATCACCCCTTGTGCTCTTAATTTTAATGCATATAAAAATTTAATTTATGGAAATTGAGTTTTTTGTGAAGACTTTATTGAAACTGCTTGATATAGCATTATTTATGTGTTTTATTCTGAGACACTATCAAAATAGGTTGCCCGAGTAATTTTAATATACCATTCAATAGATATCTTATCTGTTATTTCCATGCCATTCCCTTATTGAATAGTGATTCCCTTTGTGTAGATCATCTTGTTTCAGCTACTTTTTAATCTGTTCCCTTTTCATGTCTATAGCCTTTTGAAATATGCATTATGTTTGTTCCATCATCATTCATCATATCTCTTTGATGATAATTTTATATTGGACCTTATGTTCTTCACACAACATGTTCTTGTTTTTATCTATTATGAAGATTTACAGCAATTAATGGTTTTTAAGCATACATTACAAGAGTGTATAACTTTTTCTTAAATCGTACAGAAAACCCAATATCGGAGGCAGGGAGGAATTGTCAAAGTCAAGGATACCTTTGTGGATTGTTCTTCAGCAGTACAAACACTAAGTAGGAAAGAGATGACTCATCTAGCTCAGGAGATTTTACTTGAGATGAAAACTGAATCCGACAACTCCACCCTGCCTGCTTTGATGCTTTCTTATGCAGATAATGGCCTTTTTCCCCAGGCACAGGCGATTTGGGAGATGCTATTGAATAGTTCTTTTGTGCTGACAATTAACATAATTTCTGATTTGATGAATGCTTATGGAAGGATGGGACGATATGATGAGATAATAAAAATTTTGGATCAATTAAGTTCAAGAAATTTCAACTTATTGCCTCAGGCATATTCATGCGGTATCTCTTGCTTCGGGAATCAAGGACAGCTTGAGCTAATGGAAAACACATTGAAGGAAATGGTGTCAAGGGGTTTCCCAGTGGATTCTACCACTGGAAATGCCTTGATTAAATATTATAGCACTTTTGGGTCATTAACACAGATGGAGAGTGCTTATGGCTTTCTTAAAAGTTCTAGACATCTCATAGATAAAGAAGGAATCAGGGCAGTGTCATTTGCATATCTGAAGGAGAAAAAGTTTTACGGATTAGGTATGTTCTTGAAGGATGTTGGTCTTCGAAGGAAAGATGTGGGAAATCTTCTTTGGAACTATCTATTGTTATCATATGCTGCCAATTTTAAAATGAAAAGCTTGCAAAGAGAATTTCTGAGCATGTTAGAAGCTGGTTTTCATCCTGATCTCACTACATTTAATATAAGAGCTGTGGCCTTCTCAAAAATGTCTTTGTTCTGGGATCTCCATCTTAGCCTAGAGCATATGAAACATGAAAATGTTGTTCCTGATCTAGTGACTTATGGTTGTATTGTTGATGCTTACTTGGATAAAAGACTAGGAAGAAATTTGGATTTCGCTTTCAGTAAAATGAATTTGGATAATCCTCCAATAGTATTGACAGATCCATTAGTTTTTGAAGTTTTCGGTAAAGGGGATTTCCACTCAAGCTCAGAGGCCTTTATGGAGTTTAGTAGGCAGAGAAAATGGACTTACAGAAAACTAATTGCAGTATATCTCAAGAAACAATTCCGGAGAAACCAGATATTTTGGAATTACTGACCTGTTGCTTGCTGTCTGTCTTGAGGAAATATTCTGTCTGTTTAGGAAAGAGAACTGTGCTCACTCGCTAAGTAATTGAACTTTGGGGTCAGAGATATATGGCAAGGATGGGGATTTCCGGCAGTGGTATAGGTCAGTAGGTGTTGCGCTGATATATACTGTCATCGTCTTTTTTAGCATATTGGAGAATACTCATTCTTTTCCTAGGGCCCAAAACAATTCCAGCAATTCATCTTATCCCCAGATTCTTTGATAGCTCTGCATTCTTTGCTAGAAAAATAAGCTAAAGCTACATCATGGAGACTCAATGAATGACGAAGGAAACTGCATTTTCATATAAAGGTTAGAAAGATGCACAACCCTGTTGCTTATAATCTGTCATATGAATTTCCTGCTGGCTGAAATGAAATGGTTGACTGCGTAGAACTTTTTCCTGGCTTGCCAAATGCTGTGTTCCAATCCATTAGACTGCTTGTTTGTTTGAAATCCATTCGCATGCTTATAGAAAGTTTGTAAGCTGCAACAAAGCCAATAGTTACAATCTATCATGTATTAGTCATAAGGATAACTTGGGAACGTGATGGTTAGAGTAATATATTTGAATATACTGGTTTCATTTTCCAGGTCTGGAGTTGTCTCCAAGTCTGCAGCTGCTAGCTTAAAAGGATCAGCTGTGTAATAAGAAATGGATTCATCGAAGAGGCTATTGTACTTACCTCCAAAGTCAGTCTTGTGATATACTGATGATCAACGACATCCAAGTAGCATGTACAAATAATGTTTCATCTCCATTTTGTTTTTGGTGCATACATATATGGGGATGCAATGAAATTTTAGATTTTGGTTTAATGGAATCGAAAATAGAGAAAGGTTTCCCCTATCACCCTTCCTGGAAAATTGGAAGTGTTGAGATTGTAGGTGGAAAGTTTTATGATAAACAAGGCCACACTATATGTATACCGTTACTATAAATTTATGCAGGATACTTAAAGGCATAAATGCAGATGTGTATTGTATCTTTCAACTATTCTTTTTGACCTTATTGGCAACTTTATTATATTGGTGATTTTGGTATGCTTTGGAAAATACAAAGCGGTCATGAATAAACAATTAAACCACTAGTTTCCAAGGTCCTAATCTTATGGAGCTTCCAACTTTCAATTTCCCATTTGAAAATAATTAATCACAAGTTCGAGTAAAAGAAAATGCCTACACTTGGGAAGGGAATGTGAATGTAAAATCCCGGCCCAGCCCGGGCCTGGCCCGGTTGGATTTATACCCAGGCCAGTGCCTGGGCCCGCTATTTTCTAAAATTAGTGTTGACCCTCTGGAAAGTTATTAGAACACTCCATAAAAATCTTACATAACCCACCTGACAACTACCCCTCCAGTGCAGTAAACTAACCCGATAAAATCAATTCCCGCCCTCATATATCAAGTAACACCCCTATTTCATTCAACCCGGATAGGCTTGATCCGGCCCGGGTATTAAAATGAACAGACTTTTCTCCGGGCCCGGGCTTGAACACTTTAAATGTACCCCAGCCTTACCTGACATAAGATATTTAGGTGTCGTTTGTTTTTTTTTTTATTAAAATTGGAATTATTTAAATTTGATTGGTGTATTGTTGACAAATGAAAATTATCATTGATTAAGATATTTTTGTATTCAAATAAAAGTCAATATTTTGGCCTTTTACTTTTATCTGACTGTCAAATAAAAGCTAAAAAATAAACAAATATAAAACATATTAATTAATTAAAATTACTAATACATCCCTTAGTGGGAATCTCACTGATTGCATAGCTGTATGTAAACCTAGATTACAAAAAAGGATTTTAAGATCATCTGTTCATTTTTATTTTACCTAATCTTTGAAGGATCTAAAGACACATGGCAATGAGATTATCTAAAAAGTTAGGATTAATTATTTTAATTTATTTCCTTTTTTACCTCTAAAATATATTTTTTAAACACTAAACATTGTTTCCACGCATAGGATGCTAATTCTTTCTCTTCCGTCGCACACACAATTATCATACACTAATCTGAATTAAAGAAAAAATAATTGATAGATTTATATTCCAATAAAAATAAAATTCCAAGAAACATAATTGAACTTGATTATATTTAGAACAAGAAGTTTTGTATTTTTACAATAAGATCTTATAGAAATTAGGTAAAATTAAATTAATAAAGGATCCAAATCCTTGAAAAAAAAAAATCTCTAATAACAGATCCACAAGCAATATGATTGGGGTATTATAAAAAATGATAAACCTGAAAACAAAATGGCTTAGTTGAAGGATATAGATAAGACGTTGTCGTAACAGCAATAAATTGATTTAAAATTCTTTTTAATTATTAAACTATAGAGGTGTCCCATTGATATTAATGTTACACTTGGGGAGCAGCCTGTTGTTTTGGCTATATCAGCTTTTATTTTTTTTAATTAATTATGATAAATCCCTCAACCTCCCATGAGCTTTTTTCTAGATAGAAAATAGTTTTTTTAAATTTCATTATAAATCATTCACATATAATTTGATGCATAATTTTCTTATTGGATTGACTAATTTTTAAAAATTTGGATTGTTTTAATGAATAAATAAACATATTAATGAAAAGGGTATTATTAGATTATGATGAATATAAACTTATTTAACCTTTAAATATTGCAGAAAAAAGCCCCTACTTTTGAGCTCTAAAGACAAGATTGAAAGTTTTAATATTGTTTTGTTTAACAATAACACAATAATTGGAGAGAGATAGGAAAATAACAAAATTTCCACAATTAATTCATTATTTATCACAAATGTCTTAAAGGAATCATTTAAGAGTAATACTACACCAATCATGCACGAAAAAATAAATAACTTTAATATAAAAGGTTTAACAAATAATCAAGCGAAATATACCATTGAGTGACCCAACGGTCAATTAGGACTTTTATATGTATTATTCAAAAGGTTCTAAGTTTGATCTATCTAGGTTGCTAATAAAAGTGGTCACTGAGTGAATCTGTCGACTTCAAGGCCCCAGGGGATTAGTTTAGGTGTACGCAAGTTGGCTCGAACACCCTAAGTCATAAAAATAATAATAATAATAATAAATAAATAAATATATATATATATATATAATTACAATATTAAACATACCCTTTTTATATACCAATTGACATGAGTTAATTAAACTAATTCTCAACATTTTAAGAGAAACACATTATAAACGAAATTTGAAAAACGATCAGTAACTTCATAGATATGATAACTATTAGGGTTTAGGGGTTTAGGCCTTAAGGTTTAGGGGTTTAGGGTAACTATTAAGAAGTTTGTATATATGAGTTGTCAAGCAACATCTTCAATTAGGGGTGTAGTTGAGCTAAGTATTGGTTGGCTCCAGCTTGACTCGTTGTTGGACCAGGGGTGCTCGAGCTCGAGCTCGACAAGCTTATGATTTTCAAGCTCGCACTCGAGCTCGAGCTCGACGAGCTTATGATTTTCAAGCTCGCACTTGAGCTCGAAGCATTCATTGTGAACTTGAGCTCGACTGGAACAATAGTCGAGCTCGAACCGAGCCAATACTCGAGCCGAAGCTCATTGAACATATACAAAATTTTTATATCGTCACAATTAATGGCAATTGGCAACCATAAAGGGTGGACGACGGTGGAATGAAGCTTGGACAATGGTGGAATGATGATTGGCGAGCATGGTTTTAAAACCCGGACCGACCCAGCTGGTTGGACCGGGACCCAAGGCCTTCTCTAGGTCGGGTTACCCTTTCAACCGTTTCAAATTTGAAATCTAGCAAACACACCTCTGATTAATACGCATCAGTCCCTAAAGGTTTGAAATCCAGCAAACACACTCTCTGGCCAAATGTAAATTGGCGATGACCTCCTATTTTTCGATGACCTTCCACCTTCTGACTTTCTTTGGGGCCGTGACGCTTCATCTCCCGCCGTAGCGCGATGTTTCGTTGTCCAGCAATTTTTCTTCCATTTTTTGGCGTCGATCGGCCTTCTTTGGCATCAATAGGCCTCCTCAGCCACCAATCCACCTTCTCCCAAGCTCATTTGCTGTCGTTCACGAAGATCCACAGTCATCTTGCCAAAAAAAGCCACCGTGACCGTTTGACTTCCACCACCGATCTGCCATTTTCGGGTGATGCCTCAACTTACTAGCTGCTAATTCGTCCTCCCTATCACCTAATCTACCCTCCCTGGTGTTTTGCCACCACTCTCCCAGTTGATCGCCGATTTGCATTTGGCCAAGGGTTGTGTTTGCTAGATTTTAAACCTATAGGGTCTGATGGTATTTATCAAAGGTGTGTTTGCTAGATTTTAAACATGTTAAACCATTGGTTAAACCACTGGTGTAACAGGTTATACCGGTTAACCCGTGACTCAGTCGCCTGAGCAAGTCACCCCCCAGGTCGGGTTTTAAAATCTTGTTGGCGAGTGATGAGAAGGGATAAAGGGTATGATTGTGAAGAGGAGAGGGTGGAGGCCTAGTTAGTAATTCGAGTATTATTCACGAATTTCAGTATTTTATCAACCCAGCCGTATTATTCGTGAACTATATGCCTCAATCGTTTTATTCGCGAATTATTCCCGTATCCGAATTTTTGCTTAATTTTTACAATCGTATTTTTCATCATTTGCCGTATCATACTTGTAAATTCTCGTACCATTTTTTGCCGTACCCGTATATTTGAAATGCTATATTGATTTTAACCAGGTGGTCCATGAAAAATGCTAAACCAAGATTGATATTGCCATATTTTTCAAAACGTATTATTGATAATGTGTCGTTTTAAACTTGTACCATATTTTTCTTCTATTTGAATTTTATGACCGAATTTTTATAAACGTATTTTTTAACATTTGCTATCCCGTACTCCTTTTTTATCGTACCTGTATTTACTAAATAAGGATGGGGTTTCCAATAATGGTGAGGGGTGATTTTTGGGCAAGAAAAAGCTGTAAAACATTCCATAATAAATAAACAATTATTAATGCATTTATTTTATCTCATTATCACATAGTGACAATAATGGGTGCGTTTGGTTTAGTATTTTGGATAGGATTTTAGGGATAGTATTGGGTTATTGGATATGGGAGTATTACGAGATAAATTTTAAAAATTTGTAAAAAAGCCCTTAGGTTTACTAATTTAACTAAAGACCCTAACATATAAAATGACAAAAACAACCCCACCACCTGCATTCCGGCCACCACCGTCGGAATCTGACCGAAAAATTTCGTTACGGCACAGACTTGTCGGATCTGTGCCGTAACACGTTGTTATGGCCTTTTCCGGCCAGATCCATGGTGGATCTGACCGGAAAAGGCCAGATCTACGGTCTGTTATGGCCGTCGACGGCCGGAAAAGGCCAAACGAGGGCCATCTTTGGCCGTCAGCGACTGCCAAAGATGTGGCCGTCGTTTTCGGTCAACGACGGCCATTTCTTTGGCCGTCGCTGACGGCCAGATCTGGCCTTTTCCGGCCAGATCCGTGGTGGATCTGGCCGGAAAAGGCCACAGCAGTGAACTTCCGACCATTTCTGGTGGGAAGTTAGGCCGTTGTACAGATTTCGGCTATCACCGACGGTGGTTGCCGGAATCTGACAAGTTGGGTTGATGGGGGTGTTTTTGTTAATTTTTAAACTTTTTTTTCAGGGGGTATTTAGTGAAATTAATAACCTTATGGGGTTAAAATGTAATTAAAAGATAGGGTAATATTTTTAGAATATTGTACCAAACGCTATTTGGAGAATAGGATCCAGAATATGGATAAAAATATTAAACCAAACACGCACAATATTATAGATAGATTATTAGATAAATAATTAAATAAAAAAAAGTATATATTCCAAATGTTTAATGTACAATCATAGTGGCGCTATGTAACAGTACAGCGAGGCGGCCTTGACTGATTTGATTAAAATAAAATAAAATAAAACTTATGACGCTTTGTTTAAATATCTTATCCGCATTCTAAATCAAAATACACATCTGTTTTTTATTCTCAAAATATTACTTTAAATTATTTAATTATTTTTAATTTTTAAACCCTATTTTGTAATAATTACTTAACTCTATCTAATAATAATATTTTAAAAATATTATTATAAATAACTAAAATAAACATTTATTTTCCTATCCTATTTGTATTCCAAATCAAAATACATATTTATTTTTTTATTCTCCAAATCTTATATTAAATTATTAAATTATTTTTAATTTTTAAATATTATTTCATAATACCAATCAACCCTATATAACAATAATATTATAAAAATACTACTAACAAAACAAATCGCCCCAAAAGATATTGATTTGATAAGTAATACTATTAATAGATAGTTACGTGTTAACTGTAAAATTGATATTTAAATACTATATGGTAAGCAAATCTCAATAATTAATAAGGACAATTTTGTATCATATTAATTAATAATTTTGTATTTTTCTTAGAAGAATCTTTAACAGTAACATTGGGTGATTGATACTGACAAGTTTTATTAAAGATAAAAACAAATATGGAATATAAATAATAATACATTAACTTGAAACATTTATAATTCAATTAAAGACTATTATTATATATTCTATTTCTAATGCAAATATCATAAATACAAAATCTCAATCAATGACGTCGTAAACCTTTGATTTATATGCTGTAAATTTCAAAAAAAATTGTACGCGGGGATTTCATTTTTTATATTAGGGTTAAAAATAGACCTCCTCAGTTATGATAAAATAACGAAGATCCTTAAAATATTTTTAAAATAATAATTTTTTTTCCCTTTTATTAATGAACTATTAAAATTTACAAGGTTAAAGAGTTTGTCAATATAACTAATTTGCCTTCCTAACATTTACATTAACATTTAAAACTTAACGATAGAAATATCTTTATAGTCATAATATTGGGACCAATTAAATTTATTATTATAAGGAGGTTATAATTTAATAAATGTGTAGTTATAAAAATTATTTTTTTAATTTCTTATTTTATAATTTATGTTTTAGTAGTATTATGATTTCAATTCATTGTTTTAGAAGTATTAGGATAGTACGGAAATAGATATCAAAGAGTTACCGTAAAATTGAGTGATTAGATTAGACAACTTCACTACACTAATCAAATGGATATTAATGTTTTCCTCAATCATCCAAATGAGCAACAAGTCGTGTATGTTTTAACTAAAGAAAAAGTCGTTACTTGAATTAGATAAAAAAAGGAAGAAGGTAATCCTAAGGATGATAGTATAGAAATACAAAAAATTAATGCCAAAAACCTGCTTAAGAGCTATAAATATTTTGGCTTCAACAAGAAGGTATCCATGTTGGTGGCTTATTACATACTCGTAAGATAAAAAATATGATAACAACTTTAAAGTATAAATCATTGTCCTAAATAACTTTAGATAAATATTTTATTTTATTTTATTTTATTTTAAACTTTTAATGTAACATAACATATATTTTTTGTAATATACTTATAATTATTATTATGTAGGGGCAAGTTACTTCAGACGTAATTTAGAAAAATTATAACTTATTACAATGTAAACATTATTCTTATTTATAACTGGTTTAAGTTGAAACTAAATTTTTTTATAATTACATGAAGGTTATTCTTATAAAGAGTATCACTATAGAAATATTATATTTTATTATTAAAATTTTTTATAATTACATGAAGGTTATTCTTATAAAAGTATCACTATAGAAATATTATATTTTATTATTAAAACAGAAAAGAAAAATAATTTTTTTTAGTAAAATATGTAAAAAAAAAAAAAAAAAAGGAAAAAAACATAGACAAGATGGATGGGAATTTGGATACGAATGAAACAGTAATTGTGTTGATGGTTATGGTAAAAAGTGGAAAAGAGTAATGGCATAATGATGACAACCCAATTGAGTACAAATATTTTTAATGATTATTTCCTTAAATACCCCGAAATTTGTGTCTAAGTCTAACAAATATCATGTTTAATAAGGGAAGAGTCGAATTTCAGGCCAAATCTTATGTTATTACTTTGTCACAAGAAATAACAAAAAAGGAAAAATAAAAATTCTTATAATACATATAATTCAAATTACGTTAGTTAAATATTATATGTGATGAAATTTTATTTTTATGTTTATTATATCTTTCCTAACAGAATTATAATTTAATTTTTTTGGAAATAATGATAAATGATATGGATTTGAATGGGTGGAAGTGGGGCGGGTCACTTTCCGGACCATACTAATGTCTGACAATGTGGCAACAGAGTAAAGTGGGACCATTGCCTTTTCGAAACAAGTAAAATTTGTACCAGTCGGGTCGGCTACTTTGGCCTCATTTATTTCTTTATAGTTTATTCCCCCCTAATTAACTACTCTCCTTTTGGACGTTTCTGTTTCTCTATTCAATTAATTATATTAAATTAAATAACCATAACGAAATACCAAAGCAACTTCCCTCACATCACATGCTCCCTCTCATTATTATTTAAATATCGGCAGTTTTTATTTTTAACAAAATGAGGCGTTTCCTTACCCTTCAGGTCAATAATTTCAAAAATAAAATAAATCATCTTGTTATTAAAAAATCTTTAGAATTTATAATACGATAAATAAATGAATTATTTATTTTATTAAAAAACTTAAAAACAAGAAAATTTTAATTTTACTATAACTTTAAAGGTATTTTTGTAATTAAATTGTAGATAAAAGGAGATTAATGTTATTAACCTAAAAAACAACAACGTATACAAGAGATATATTTTTATTTAAAATAAAGTCAAATCTATATATGTAAATAACAAATAGATATATTTTTAAATTAATCGAAAAGAACACATTAATCACAGTCACGAATCACTGGAACCCAATCAATCACCTTTAAGCCGCACTTTCTTTTCGGTAATCTTTTTATTGTTCTTACCTTTCGTCTCCTCAACTATACAAGAGATGAAGTAATCTCTCTTTTATCCAATCCAATCTATCTTTCTCCAACAAAATACTTGTTTGTACAACTCTTTTAACTTTCGATTCTTCTTTTGTGATATTCGTTTTTTGTTTTTCAACATAACTTGTTATTTTTGTTTGCTTCAATGGTGGGGTTTTAAGGCTTTCTATTATTCCTTTCTTCATTCTTCAAAATCGTTCATCTTTTCATTTCTTTACCAGATTCCCCCACCTGGTTTTTTTTCTCTTTTTGTTAGCTTTCTATCATTGCTTGTTTTTTTAAAACTTTTTTTTTTTTTTTAGTTTTTTAAAATTTAGTTTCACACACCCACATGCATGTTCTTGTGTTTGTCTGATCTGGATTGGATCACAAGGATCCCTTGTTTTCTTTTTATTTTTAGTTGAAGAACACTAAGAGAGAGAACACACAAAGAGAAAGAAAGAGATAGACAGGTGTGTGGTTGTGGGGTGTAGTGCTTTGTGGGGGAGCAATCTTGGTTTCTTTGAGGGGTCATTGGAGAAGAAGCAAAGGAGAAACCAAGAACAACTCTAAGAACAAGTCAGGTAAGTTAAGTTTTTCTTCATTTTCTTCGTTTCTTGGATCTTTTGTTTTTGGACCCACATGAAAAGATTCTTTTTTTCCTTCTTCTTCTTCTTCTTTTCTTTTTGTTTCTGTTCCTATTTGTAGCTGTCTCTTATTTTATGTTGTTCTCTGTGGTGTTACTTGAATTGGGTCCAATTCATTTCTCTTGTTTTATGTGTTCTTCTCAGTGGTCTGTTGTGGAGAAATAATTGCTAGGGTTTGAATTTGGCGGTGATAATTTATCATGTTGGTTGCGTGGTAGAATAATTGGGGGTTTGGCTGTGCGTGTATTAGTGTGAGTTGATATTGTAGATACTCCTGAGCCATGGCGGGTATTGATGTTTCAAAATATGCTCATAGTCCTGCGCACAAGGCCATTGCCACGAGGGATTATGCCAGTCTCAGGAGAATGCTTGCTGCTCTCCCAAGGCTTGGTAATCCGGCTGAGATTCGTACTGAAATGGCTTCAGTGGCGGAGGAAGAGAAGGCTGATGCCATCTCTGCGGTGATTGATAGGCGGGATGTCCCCAATCGGGACACTCCTCTTCATTTGGCTGTCAAACTTGGTGATGAGACCGCGACAGAAATGCTTATGGTTGCTGGGGCTGATTGGAGTTTGCAGAATGAACAGGGATGGAGTGCACTCCAGGAGGCAATTTGCAATAGAGAAGAAGGGATTTCCATGATTATAGTTAGGCATTACCAGCCGTTGGCATGGGCTAAATGGTGTCGGAGATTGCCTCGGTTAATCGGGACTATGCGAAGGATGAGGGATTTTTATATGGAAATCACGTTCCATTTTGAGAGTTCTGTGATACCTTTTATTTCAAGAATTGCTCCTTCAGATACTTATAAAATTTGGAAGAGGGGTGCCAATTTGAGGGCGGATATGACTTTGGCTGGATTTGATGGATTTAGGATCCAGAGATCAGATCAGAGTATTCTTTTCCTTGGTGATGGGTCTGAAGATGGAAAGGTTCCTCCTGGATCACTTTGCATGATCTCACATAAGGATAAGGAGGTGATGAATGCTTTGGATGGTGCTGGTTCTCAAGCAACAGAAGAAGAGGTTCGACAAGAAGTGGCTGCAATGTCTCAAACTAATATATTTCGGCCTGGGATTGATGTGACTCAAGCAGTTCTTTTGCCGCAGTTGACGTGGAGGCGGCAGGAGAAAACAGAGATGGTGGGTCCATGGAAGGCGAAGGTATACGATATGCATAATGTAGTTGTTAGCATTAAATCCAGGAGAGTCCCTGGAGCGATGACAGATGATGAGTTCTTCTCGTCTTGCAATGAAAATGAAACAGAGAGCGAGGAGCTTGATGATATTTTGACAGAAGATGAAAGAAGGCAACTTGAGGTTGCACTCAAATTGGATTCATCAGAAACGGGCAATGAGAATGGTGACGGGATTATCGCTCACCGCCATAGTTGTTATGAGCATAGGGAGATTCCTATTGAGGATGTGAGTTCTTGTAGAAATGGAGACACTAAACAGGAAAAGAAAGGATGGTTTGGTGGATGGAGGAAACGAGATTCTAAACTCGAAGGACAGAAGAAGATTGTACCACCGAGAAGTTCGCTCTGTGTTGAAGAGAAGGTGAGTGATCTTCTAGGGGACTCTCCTTCTGGAAGTCAGATAAAACCAGGAAGACATTCTGTTGAGATTGTTGCAAGGGATGAGCACCGGAGAGGAAGGGATACCAGAACATCAACTTCTGTAAGTTCGGAGAGTGGACATCGGCGCAAGGATGGAGGCCGTGAGAATGAGTATAAGAAAGGGTTGAGGCCTATTCTCTGGCTTTCCCCAAACTTCCCACTACAGACTGAAGAACTCCTGCCATTGCTTGACATTCTTGCAAACAAAGTTAAGGCAATTCGTCGTTTAAGAGAGTTGCTGACCACAAAACTCCCAATGGGAACTTTTCCAGTCAAGGTATGCAGTTCTTTATTCTGTATTGCAACACTGCATATGTTGTTTTGCATGTGTGTGTGTACAACTCTTACTCAGCTTTTAGTTATATTATCTTCTTTTTGTTGTTTGAAAATGCTTTGCCTCACTGATGTATCAACTTTTACATTATTGTTTTGTCATTCTATTAAAAGACATTTGCTGTTTAGTGGCAGTGGTTAGTGTGGGGAGGGGTAAAGGTTCCGAACCTGAAGGGTGCTCTTTTTTAAGGTTGGTCTTATGTAAAATTGTAAATGAGTCAGAAAAATTTATGACCTCTATTATCTTCTGGTTTGCATATGAGCTTTTCCTGTATAACAAGTCCCAGTATGCTCGTTGATTGCTTGGTGCTCTTTTCCCTCTTTTTTACCATTCTATGGTAAAGAGGCATACAAAATTTAGAATTGAGAAGTATGTAAACTGGCTAAGTAGTGTTGGTAGAAGAATTGAGTCAATAATGATAAACTCTGATTGTTCAAGTTGGCTCTAGTTTCGAAGCTAATGAGGGAATTTGAACAGAATTACTTGGCTCATTTATGCCTTCACTCACAAGCATGCTTCATGCTGGATGAATTTAAGGATCAATTCGTTCTCTGTTAGTTTTGGTTTAAGGATCAATTGGATTGTGCCCTTTTTACTTATTCACTTGTCTCCCTCCCTTTACCATTGTAGGTTCTTTCATTCTAGTTGCTTTTCTTCCCGCTTATTTATGCAATCAGTTCAGGTTTTGAGTTACATGCTTCATACTGGATGTCTGTTTAGTGCTATATGACCTTTGCCTAGCTAGGCTATAGGAGTTGATCAGAAAGACAACAATATATTCCATGGTGAATTATGTTGAGGTTGTGAAACCTGTTTAGGACAGGATTGTGTAAGACTAAATGCTATATACTTGCACAATGTTATAGTTTTTTATTGGTGAACATCGCCAATATGCTGAATTTCCTGTGGTCTGATACTGATGTTATTATGAGAGCAACTTGTACAGTAGTACAAGTAGTCATCATTTTTGTTTGTGTTATTGATAGTTATTGAGATAGAAACTATAATAATTGATATAAACATAGTTAAAGTACAAGCTATGCATGTATCAATGTTGCCCCTTATTTTTACTAACTTCGCTATTAATAGTTAATTAGAACTCAGCTCTCTTCTCCTCAATTTATTTTCTCATGCTGCATTTATGTCCATTACAGTTAGAATAATTTTTTTTTTTCTGTTGTGGATTATGTTCTGATTGAGTGGTAGATAAATTGTCAGAAGTTGTCTTCTTTGAAATAATTGAGTTACCCTTGTTTTAAGGAGGTGTCAGAAGTAGTTAAGTTGTTCGGTTGTCCATCCATGATGATATTATCTTTAGTGATAGTATGGATAAAAGAAGTGTGTAATTGCTATACTCATACCTTATGTTTTTATATTTTATTTTAAAAATTTTTGTATAGAAAACTTTAAAAGTTGAGTTAGAAAGAAGATGCTAGTAGAAGATTTGTGGTTACAAATTTTTTTTTTTTTTTTTTTTTGACACCATTACTGAATTATATATTGACTATATTATGCTCTGGAGATCTGAATATGGACTATTAGAGTTGTTCATCTTTGTGAATAACTGATTGTTTTCCTTTTGTTCATTAGTGTACCATGTATAATATATGTTCAACTTTTGTATACTTTGCCTCTTATTGGAGCTTGGGATATCTTTAGTATGTGGTGTTGTCTGATTGTCATTCGGTATTACAAGATGCAAGGGCCGTGTCAAGTCACAATCTTCTTACATCTAATAAGATTATTGTTTGTTAGTAGGAGAAACTTCCTTTTTTTCAACTGAGTGTGCTTGTCTGTGGAAGTTATTCTCGTTCTTTTGAAAGTTAATTCCCACATTGAGCTACTTGTATACCTTTGAAAGATAACATTCATGTCAAATCCTTCAAGTAAAATTATTAATGTTGTTGTCTTTTTATACTTAAATATTGAGTGTTTTTTGTTTCCTCATATATATATCATCAACAACTGGAAATAGGTATCTACATGTCACGATTTCAAGCTCTAAATTGAGAATGATACAGTTTATTCTAATTTCATTTTGTTGATCGTGAATTCAACATTGGTTCATATTGAACAACTTATACACTTGAAAAACACATTTAGCCCAGTATTACGCATAATATTGCTGATGATGATATTTGAGATATAGAGAGTCATTGTTTTGTTTGAAATGATCTGTTGTGTCATATCAGTCGATTTGAGGGCTGAAGAAAGTGTGATTCATTTTATGTTGATCCAGTCTTTGACACTGTCTGCAAGCAATCTTTATTTTTTCTAGTTTACCTGTAAGTTTTACTGACTCCTCTACATAGCAACTGTTTATGGTCATGCAATAAATGCGTGCTAGTCACCTAGATATCTAGTTGCTGTAGTGCTTATTAAATTTGCAATGTTAGAGGCAAGAATACAGACAGAATTGAGTTTTTCTACGGTACGCAATGGCTCCTAGTCGTCAATCTTGAATGGAGTGTTTCCCTCTTCATATAGATTTTTCTTCAGATCTTCTAGGAGAAAGACACCCTGAACAAGTACACACATAATCACCTCTAGTAACTCCTATCCACATGATAGTATTGTAAATGCTCAAATGCTGGAACTAGGAAGCAATCTCTTTGTGCATGGCTTGTTATGGGAGGAATGTAGGAAGTGACTATCTATACACCAGGAGGAGCACAGTTTCAGTGAAATTTGAAAGGGGTTGAGAACCTTGAGAAAGTTTCCTTTTTTCTTTTTGGATAGAGAAGGTTTTTCCTTTATCGATAGCAATGAGAATTTGTTTCTTGGGTGATAAATTATCTGGAAATTCTGAATTATCTCCTGTAAGATCAGTGAATTTTAAAATGTTGGTGTGTAGGTGTACATGTTGAATTGCTTCATTGTGTCTTTTCATAGGAACGCCCAGTTACTTGGGAGTTTATTATTATCAGGTTGTTGCTTGTTGCTGGTACCCATACTGTTAAGAGGAATAAAAGATGAGCAGTGGAGAGAAACGGTGTAAGAGTGGTACCTAAAAATAAATGTTCTTAAGCTGGTGAGTATGAACGTTAATTGACCGATTGACTATGTCAATTGATTATCACTTTCACAATAGTTATTACTTTGAATGAATTTAGGCACCAACTTGCATAATTATGCATTGTGTCACAAGAGAGATCAATGTTACATATTTAGACTCCTGAGGCTAGCTATTGTCGGTGCAGAACTGTGCAGAACATGTTTGGTTTAGTGCAATCAAAGTTGTCTTTTTATTAAGAAAATGAATAGAACATGTATTTTATAATTTGCTGACATCCAGGTCGGGTTGAGCTTCTNAAGCTCTAAATTGAGAATGATACAGTTTATTCTAATTTCATTTTGTTGATCGTGAATTCAACATTGGTTCATATTGAACAACTTATACACTTGAAAAACACATTTAGCCCAGTGTTACGCATAATATTGCTGATGATGATATTTGAGATATAGAGAGTCATTGTTTTGTTTCTTGTTATTTATATGATCAAGAAATGATCTGTTGTGTCATATCAGTCGATTTGAGGGCTGAAGAAAGTGTGATTCATTTTATGTTGATCCAGTCTTTGACACTGTCTGCAAGCAATCTTTATTTTTTCTAGTTTACCTGTAAGTTTTACTGACTCCTCTACATAGCAACTGTTTATGGTCATGCAATAAATGCGTGCTAGTCACCTAGATATCTAGTTGCTGTAGTGCTTATTAAATTTGCGATGTTAGAGGCAAGAATACAGACAGAATTGAGTTTTTCTACGGTACGCAATGGCTCCTTGTCGTCAATCTTGAATGGAGTGTTTCCCTCTTCATATAGATTTTTCTTCAGATCTTCTAGGAGAAAGACACCCTGAACAAGTACACACATAATCACCTCTAGTAACTCCTATCCACATGATAGTATTGTAAATGCTCAAATGCTGGAACTAGGAAGCAATCTCTTTGTGCATGGCTTGTTATGGGAGGAATGTAGGAAGTGACTATCTATACACCAGGAGGAGCACAGTTTCAGTGAAATTTGAAAGGGGTTGAGAACCTTGAGAAAGTTTCCTTTTTTCTTTTTGGATAGAGAAGGTTTTTCCTTTATCGATAGCAATGAGAATTTGTTTCTTGGGTGATAAATTATCTGGAAATTCTGAATTATCTCCTGTAAGATCAGTGAATTTTAAAATGTTGGTGTGTAGGTGTACATGTTGAATTGCTTCATTGTGTCTTTTCATAGGAACACCCAGTTACTTGGGAGTTTATTATTATCAGGTTGTTGCTTGTTGCTGGTATCCATATTGTTAAGAGGAATAAAAGATGAGCAGCGGAGAGAAATGGTGTAAGAGTGGTACCTAAAAATAAATGTTCTTAAGCTGGTGAATATGAACGTTAATTGACCGATTGACTATGTCAATTGATTATCACTTTCACAATAGTTATTACTTTGAATGAATTTAGGCACCAACTTGCATAATTATGCATTGTGTCACAAGAGAGATCAATGTTACATATTTAGACTCCTGAGGCTAGCTATTGTCGGTGCAGAACTGTGCAGAACATGTTTGGTTTAGTGCAATCAAAGTTGTCTTTTTATTAAGAAAATGAATAGAACATGTTTTTTATAATTTGCTGACATCCAGGTCGGGTTGAGCTACTGATTTCTTTTCACCAACCTATGGTTCTCGTGATTTATTCATAGACATTTGGTTATTCTATATGGGACTATTTACATAAAGCAAAGAAATAAATTGTCCTTCGGATCCTTGAAATTTTGTAGACTGCTGATGCCGATGATGTGAAATCTTAGACATCGGTATGTAGGCAATTTGAACTTGGTGAAAGTTTTTGATTTGTAGTATGTGGAAACCTAATATCAGGTGCTGTCAAGTGTGTATTATGTGAACTCTTAAGATTGAATAAAGAAGTGAAGTTTTTATATTCTCTAGATCCCAAAGAACTTAGCCTAGATTTCTAACACGATGAGTATGACTAACATTGAAATCTTCCCTTTCAAGTAGTAACGAGAGAGGTGGTAGGTTCATCACTTAATGAAAGAAACTTGGGAGGCAATCATTGCTAAAAGTTGAGCCATTGCGATCTTTATTTTGTTGTGGTTTTTGAATTACTGTAACAAGAGTTCTACTTTATACAAGATCCACAGGTAGAAGTGGTTCTAGCTTGTTGGAGTGACATAGAGACCTCAGTAACCTGCTTTTGCCGAAATTCCTTTTTACCATATTGTATAGCAATTCTCCTGTGCAGTACCTTGAATACTTTGTTCTGTTTGCTTAAGAAGTCCTCCATTTCTGCATGCAGGTTGCGATACCAGTGGTTCCCACAATCAGAGTGCTCGTAACTTTTACAAAGTTTGAGGAGTTACAGCCAGTGGACGAGTTTGCAACTCCCCCTTCAAGCCCTACAGCTGCTGGAAGAGAAAGCCCGTCAGTGACGCAGTCCACAAGCTCATCATGGTTTCAGTGGATAAAAGCTCCTTACCGCCCTAGCTCATCCACTGGCGGTTCTAGCAGTAGGATAGAGAATATCCAAGATCCATTCGCAATTCCCCAAGATTATACTTGGATTACGGCTGAAGCGAAGAAAAAAAGGATGCAAGAGAAGAGCAAATCAAAGAAAGGGAAAAGTCAGAATCAATGAAGTGAAGGCAAGAAAGAGTAAGCTCCAGATGTAAAACATGTTTTAGATTCCAAATCAAGTCAGCAGGTAACAAATAGGAAAAAATAGTGTTTCATTAATCCTGAAATTGTGATACTTAAAGAAAACAAAAGTGGGGTTCATTCTTCTTCTATGTTTGAAGCAAATGATCCCATGTGTGAAGGGAAAATTTGGTATATCATTGTGGGGGTGGAAAAAGAAAAAGGAAAAAAAGATGTTGTGATTCTTACAATGGCTTTTTGGTGGTGGTTTAGATTACTGATTCACCTTCTTCTGTATGTGTGACTGACGTTTTAACTGTTACAAATGGTTACTGACAGATTGGCTAATTCATTTTACAACTGCTGTTTTATATGATTCAGCTTCAGAAATCAGATGTTCATTTTTTCAAGATTATGTTATGATGCCTTTCAGCATTAAGACTTTTTGTCAAGGGAGAAAGGAGGACTAAATTTAGGCAGACTAAATAAGTGAAGCATGCTTGATTATTTATTAAAAAGTTTATGTAAGATAAGATTAGAAATCAGATAAGAAGATTATTTTTATATACAAAGTTGAAGAATCACATGAAATTTATGTTGATGTGCTCGAGATTCATAGCTTTTTGACCTTTTCAAACTGAAGTCCACCCCACTTCCCACTCTTTTCTTCAGCAACAATTATTTATGTCAATACCCACTTCAATTATACTCCACCAACTCTTATATGTTAGAGATATTGTTCATTATTCTTATTTGTTTCTCATTTTAAATGATAAAAATGGGCTCCACAGTTAAAAATAGAAGGTTCCCATTTTGAAGGTTAATTGATGAATGGACCCCCTGCATAATTTTTATGTCATCTTTCACAATACTTTTGTCTTGTAGTTTTGCTTAAGCATGCTTCCGAAAGTCCAACTTTGCTTTATCAAGATGGCTTAGGTTTTATCTTATTCTAGTTTTATTAAGTCAATTCAATCCTCTTCACATTGCTACTTTGCCGAAATACTTGCTCCAATTATTTCTTTTGCTTCCATTACACTTCTTTACAAAAACAATAATAATAACCAAGAATTCAGCCTTTCCCACTTCATAAAACACTGTTTCCATCAATATTTTTTTGGCTCTTAAATATTTATGCTTTAATAATCTAATGGGATGTTATCCCTGCCTTAATATAAGTGGTTTAATTACCTTTGAATAGCTGAATGGTTCGATAAGGACTTTTAGATGTATTATTCAAGAGGTCCTGAGTTTGAGTCTTTTCTTGATTACTAATAGAGGTAGCCATTGAAGCTTTTATCCGATTAATAGTTTCAAAGTCATGGAAGATTAGTTGAAGTACGTGTAAGCTGACCCGGACACCCAAACCTGTGTAGTATTTTGCCATCTCTAATTTTTATTCAATAAAGGCTGCATTAATTATCTTTTCTTTTCTTTTCCCTAAAGCTTTTCAGTTTTTGTCTCATGACTTTCACTTTTGTTTCTGGGCCACATCTCGCCCTTTTGCAAGCTCTTTCATGTATATCATAATTCGTAAAGGTAGCTCCTCCTATGCATTGACAGACATCTCAAAATTTGCAATCTAGCTCTGCCTATCTTTATCTTTGGTGGTTATCACATAAAGTATTTTTCATCTGTTACTCTCTTTTCTATTGTACAAAGTTGTGCTGTAAAGTTGAAAAAGTTCTTGGGGCTCTCACAATCTTTTTAAAAGAATTTCATTTTATTTACCAGCATCAATTACCATCTTTTATTCAAAGGAGAACCTTGTAGATTCAGTAACTTCCTTCAACTAGAGGACTAAATTTTGAATCTTTTGTACAAGTATAATGAGTTTACATTAAACAAACTACAAAGTACAAACCCTTTTCTTTAAAGCATAAGACCTTTATTTTTTAACTCATTTGTTTACTCTCCATATAGCAGAGATATTTGATACCAATTACAATTAGCTAGAGCATGAAGAATTCTAGGCTTTAGAAACAATGAATAATCTTGAGTTTTTCTTTCTTGGGTCGATGAACATTCTTCATTAGTATCAAGTAAAGATGAGTTAGAGGTTTCTGTTGCTTAGATTTGCAGATTTGTAGCGTCGAATTGCTTTAGTAATTGTGTTATTTAATAATTTTGCTAGTTACGAAAACACTAAATAATTTACATTATTTAAAATTTGTTGAGACATTCAAACTATACCCGGACGCCAAATTGGTGTCCGACGCCAGATAAATTGCGTTGGGATTGTTCGCTAGGGAACTGACTTGAAGTTGGTGACCCGACGCCAACACATTCGTGTAGGGAAAAAGCCTTTTGCCCCCNGCGCTAGTATGTAAATGGGGACTTGAAGTTGCTGGAAGAGTTGTATCAGAAGGTCAGGCGCGTGGCGGAAGCTGCAAAACGATGCTACACTGACCAGAGCACCGTCGCCAAGTTCAACAATGAGGAGTTCTGTCAGATGATGTTTCTTGATGCCTGCTTCCTCCTCCAGTTCATCTACTGCATTGTAAGAGAAGAACGAGAGGCTTTGAAGATGCATGCAATCAGGAGTTCCGTCCATTTGCTGTTTACATAAGGGACGGTCGTCCCTTAAGTGTGGACTGTCGTCCATACATAATGGATGGGCGTCCATTAGTTACGGATGCCTGTCCAAACTTAAGGGACACCCGTCCACAATTTATGGACGGGCGTCCAAATTTTTTATTTTATTTTTTAAAACAAATTAGTCCAAACTTAATGGATGGATGACCCGTATTTGCGGACGTCCGTCCAAAATTAAGGGACGGTCGTCCACAACCTATGAACGGTCATCCATAATGTTTTGTAAATTTTTTTATTGTATTTTATTTATGGACGGGCGTCCTTTAAATGTGGACGCCCGTCCTTGGTATATGGACGCCCGTCCCTGGTATATGGACGTCCGTCCATATAATATGGACGGGAGTCCATGTGAGTGAACGGCCGTTCACTAGAAAAAAATTGATAGAAAATTCAAGCGCCTGATACACGTAGACCGGTACATATTTTCGGTGTAAATTTTTCGGTGTCTGTAACTTTATTGATTTTAAAATGTGGGGTCTTTGAAATTTTGAATGTTTTTTTATTGGATATAAATTAGATGTAGTTCTCATTTATATGTATAAATCATTGTAATTTTGTGAATTGTATAGTTTTTAAATGTTTATAACTGTTTGCTTGTTTTAATTGATTCATATTGAGATTGATGAAAACTTGGATGTTGCCATTTCATTTGGTTTTTGGTGGATAAATGGTGGGATCATGCCAATAATAGTATTTAATTGTGGCTGGTTGAAGGGCAAATTGATGAAGTTATTTTTGACCATTTGTAATTGCATTCAATTGCCTTCCAATACACTCCTTTAGATGAGACAATTGATGAAGTTTTGTTATTTTTGTGGTACTAAGACATCTGTTGTGTCATTTAATTTTGATATACACATGGAGGAGGGGAATGCAACCGAAATTTTACATGATGCAAGATGTTTCTTTTGTGAGCAAGCCTTATGGTTGTGTTACTTGTGTTGTGTAAATTTGATCTGAAAGGGCCGCTGGGAGCAATTTTCAGCTTGTTTATCATGCTGTTGAGTACTTGATTAACATTGTTTAATTTAGTTTGATGGTGCAATTGCAATCAGGCTCTGTAATTTGATTTCAAATTTGATCATGCATTCTGGAACTTTGGAGCTTATGGAAATTTAGTTTTAAAACTGAATGTGAATAAACTGCTGAAATTATAGGTTGAGATGGAACACGAATTCGAACTCTGATGTCAGCACAAATTCAAGTTCCTTCTCGAGCTCAAACACGGCTCGGATAGCAAATGAACCGGACTCGAACTCCCGTCAATTCCCAGGTTTTTGAGTGAAGTTTTCCAGGTGAAGGTGATGCTAGATAACAAGGCAGTCCACGAAAGTGAATTCATATGAGACATGGTGAAAAAAATGAAGAAAAAAATTGACAGTATTGGGGGGAGTGAACTTGTGATATTGTAGCGTGGTTCTAGAATTAGGTGCAAAATGGCAGTGATTAACTTTTGTTCCCACAAATGTATGGAGAGGATGAAGCACTTGCGAATATTGATAAAGTTAGAGATACCCGTATGAACTTTACCAAGAATATGTAGATGAGCGCCAAGGCCTCCACCAACCTTAACAAATAGAGATAGTATCATGGTTCCTTGGGCATCTTTACCACTGAGATCTTGGTTTGGTTTTCAGTTATTTACGCAACACTTGAAGACAATTCAAACTATTCCACCGAAAAATCAGACATAGATTGTTATTGGCGAAGGCATGATATATGTGTGTTGATGAGGAGTAAGATAAAATTGATGTGCTAGATTAGTGGAAAGCAAATAGTTGAAATATTGTATATTATCAGAGATAGCTCATGATGTATAGCCATTCTTATCACCACAGTAAATTGATGTGCTAGATTAGTGGGAAAGCAAATACGTTGAAATATCGTATTATCGAGGATAGCTCATGATGTACTAGCCATCTTATCCATAGTGGCTTCGAAGTCCACGTTCAATGTAGTAGTAGAGTAATTGATCCATATAGCTGCATTGTTGCCGAAAAAAGTTGAAGTTGCAACCTAAATGGACTAAGACAAAGGATAAAGTAAGTTACCAACTTTCCATTATTAAATTTTCTTTTAAGTAGTTATGTTCATTTAATAGATTCTTTATTAATACTTAAACATTTAAACTAATCTTTCTCATACCAAATTTTAGAAAGACGAGGAAGAAGTAGAGATCCAACTTCCTATAGATTGAAGTTATATTTATGTTTCCAAATGTATCAGACCTGTTAAGTATGTTTAAGGTGTTTTATTTAATAATTTAAGTAGTTTATATGTTGCTTCCGGCTGGGATCAGGCTTGTTCTATGTTGGAAGGTGTTGGTGGTGATCCGGTGTTGTGAGTTTAGAGTAACAGTGGCCGATTGTTGGGTTTTTGCTGGAGTTGTTGGATACTGTCATTGTTGTTTGTTCTGGGAATTGAGGAAGTTGTTTGTTTGTGGCCTTTTATGGATGGCAGGTGGTTGGTGTTCTTTTT